ATAACAGCGCGTCATCGTCACAGCACCGGTCGCACGGTCACTGTTCTACATAGCACTCCTCGACCTTAGGCCGAGTTGTGGTCCGGGGGTTTCCGTCTTCTAGTAGACAGCCGCAACGGAGTCGTGGGTTGGGCGATGATTGGGAGGTCATTTCTGGAGAGCCTTGCAGGCTCCAAGACCGGGTCCGCGGGGTTGTTAGTAGAACAAAACATTCAACCATAACATCTATACTCACAAATCCTCGCAGTTCGACGACGGAGCCATAGAGTGCCCGGTCGCAGATTTGGAGCGCGAGGATATGGTACCACCGAGCATTTCTCGGGGAACCTGGTTGTCAGCGCACAGCTTTTGCAGCGTCGAGGACCAGAAACAGTTTTCAAACCCAACGAAAAAAGTAGCGGTAGCGCGAGGAACCCAAGGAGCACGAGCGGACATTCCATCGCTCGGGAGAAGTGTTTATCGGCGACTCACCTCAGCGGGGCGCCCGTCACGTGGCTCTCCTCGCATCTGTTGTCTGCCGCTCTACCTTTTCAATTTTGACGGCCGCTTCTCATGGCGATCTTCCAGGCTTTGTCAGTATAGAAAAGGCTAAGAATAAACTTAGAGTCTGGTTTTGTAGAGGTCTTTATTTACTTTATTTGTAATGCTTGTAACTCTACTGCAAATCCAGGGTGTGTCAAACCGACTCCAAAACCCGAAGAGAAAACCGGGTCAAAAGCGTTGTTCTTCACCGAGCCGGGACCAAACCACAATCTTAAGTGGCGGAAACCGGGTAACTGGAAAACTATTCGGCGCAATGAAATTAGAGTCAACTTTAGCGTTCCCATCTTGGCTCCACCAGTTAGGTTAAAATTTTAGTTTTATTTTACGGGCGGTTTGTTTTAGAGTGCAGGCCTTAGGCGGTTGTTTCTGGCTTGAGTGCCGTCGCCGTCGGCGTAACCGCGCATTACATTATGGGACGTTTTTCATAATAACTTCACACTTGACGTTACGTGTGACGTCATTAGGGTCACGAGCGACGCCACTCCTAACCGCGCCATGCATTACACGACGTTTTCCATAATGACGTCACACGTGACGTCCCTTGTGACGTCAGGACGGTCACGATAAATGTCATGAAGGTCGTGACCTTCACTCGTGAAGGTCACAACCTTCACAAGTGACGTCACGAGGAAGGAGGAGGATAGAAGAAGAGGGTACAGAGGAGGAGGAGGGCATATCCTCCTCTCCGTACTCTCCCTTTCTCCTCCTCAAGAGCTCCGCTCTAATTCGGTATTCCAGGGAGTCGTAAATGTCTCAGTTTGTACCAATAAATAAGTTTGGCGTGGTACCAAAAACCTTTGATTTTACAGCGAGCGGCATCCTTTTTATTCCGAATTAAAAAAAAAAAACAACGATGACCAACACGTCCATGCAAAGTAACAGGGCGCGTGACATGCGTTTTGGCCAAGCGCTATTAGCATTTGATGATCGGAAGTTAGGTTAAGATTCGAATAACTGTCTTTCTTTTCGTTTCGCCAAACAGTTTCCTAGTCAACTGAAAACCGCCACATAAGATTGCGGTCTGTTTTTGGCTCGGATTCATTACCAAAGTTTGATCTGGATTAGGTTTGGTTCAGGTTTGGTGAAAATAACAATTTCAATCCGGTTTTCGGCTCGAGTCCTAGTTCGGTTCGACACCCGGGTGAAAACATCAAGTTACCTATCTCTGGTTTCAAAAAGACTACCCCACTATGTTCTTTCTGATGATATCTAACTGTTAAATAATTTGCGGAACAAGCTCAAAATTCAGTCATAACAACCAACTCGACTCTTGAGTTTTCATTAAACAAGCAAGTTTAGCATTACCCGACGCATGGGATGAAGGCTTCATTGTACAATTTCTAAATCCCTTAAAGGGATGCTGAACCGAAATTTGAATTTCCCAAAACACGCAGAAAAAGCGTGCAACGGGATGCTACAAACACCAAAACATCACTCATACAGCGATATTTCGAACGGATGACCGTATTTTTCAAAAAAAGAGACGCATTTGGCAGGAATGTTGACGTCATGTTTCTGCGAGAAGGAGAGGGAACGGCCTCGCGCTTTCACCGCCTCGTGGCCTTGAGGGAGTGAAGCGAAGAGAGGAGGAAACACGGTATATTGACGTCACGCGCCTCGTCGACCTGGTTCGATCTCGACCTCTTTTTCCAAAAATACGGCCGTCCATTCGAGATATCGCCTTGCAAGTAGTATTGTAGGGATTGTAGCGTCCCGCCTACATCTCCTGCATTGTTTTCTTTTTAAATCCAAATTTCGGTTCACCATCCCTTTAAAGCGTTCAAGAAATTATTTACGGGTTAACCAAATTGTACGCAATCAAACAATGATCAGACGAACAAGATCCTTAAAGGATGACAAGATTAGCATTAAACAAAGCAACAAAAGCTCGAGGTACACCTAAGCACTTCTTTTGAGTTGTGAATGCGAAAGCATGCAATCCGCTCGTCCGCTCCCTTTGTCGTCTGCTGCGTACTTTTTGTCGCCGGTTAGCGCGCGTGCTCCCCTGGTGACCTTGGACGCTCCATGTTGACGGCACGCTGATGGACACGCAGCGCCATGGGGTGAGCGGCCGTAGAAACTGACGAGCGCAGCGGTTAATTGGATCCCCGTCGACGCGCTCCAGCCAATGGAACCGAAAGCGAAATCCATCAGCTTTACTTCGCTCCTTTGGAATCGGGAATACTAGGTGCCGTTTGCGTGCTTCAAACGGATGACGTCAGCTCGCTCCATCGTACCCCCACTTTATGCTTTCGCATTAAAAAAACTATGAACTATCGAATATGAAGCGGCGTTGAATGTAAGTCTCATAATTTAATATTTTTTATGCTTACACGTCAGTCTTTTCAGGTGCGCTCAATCAAGTTTGCCTCTCAATAATCACTCATGATTCTGCTCTAAAGTGCACGGAAGAAAAGCAGCTAAGTCAACTTAGGGACAGACAATCAAGGAGGATGAATGGTGAGAACTGGACAATTCCCAGTGCCAGGACAAGATGCACACAGAAAGCGTGACCCTACTACTGAATACCCTCAGCAATTCATTCTGAATGTTATTTTTTTTTTGCAATATTTTTTTTTAACGATGTTAGACAAAGCTGTGAAATAGTGCTCTCGAACGAATCTGGTTTCTCAGTGAAGTTTTCATCTTTTTCGCAACTTCTTTTCCCTTTCTGTTTAGTTCCACGTTGTTAACGCCTATCATCCGCAATTAGCGGTCTTTCTTTTTTCACCTTCTTTTATCGCTTCAACCCTTCTTGCACATGACGCAGCACGTGGCCGCAGATGCAGATGGACGGCGTGAAAAGGAGAGGGCACAATGCACCGGCGGATCGTAAGGAGGCAACACCACCTAAACGGAAGTCCTCCGCATGGTCTCCTCTCCCTCTATGGACCGTCATCAGAGTCGCAACGCGCTAACTCGGCTATTGGTCCCGAGCCCGGCGTTCGACGCGCTGATTGGACACGAGGCCCAGCCGAGCACTGACACAGCACTCGTGCTCAATCTCTTGCCTCGATCAATCTGACTGTGATGATGTATGCGGAGGCCTTCTGTCGAGGTGGTGTTGAAGCTGGACGGTGAATGGAGGAACGGGAAGTGAGGGCGGTATTGTGAGTGACGGGGGAAGCTACGATTCGAAAATTCTTGAAGGTCGATACACCACGTGTCCCTAAAATTTGGAACTAAACCGCCGTGTTCCGGAAAGCTGGTCTTGCTTAATATTGAAAAATCATATGGGTGTCTAGTTTGGTTCTACAGGGTGATTCAAGGAGAGACCAGGCTGTATAAATCGACCGATAAATTCGTTTTCTTAACCTATCGCGCTACAAATTTGTGCAGCGTTGCCCCATAGATGGTGCATTTTTTTTCTGAAAATTTGCAAAGTGCGAACTTACCTGAGGAAAAAGTAAAGGAAGAAGAGGCTTAGCTGCTATGGAAACGCAGCAAAGCACCTGGTCTTCAAACAACACGGCGCCGTTTCGCACGGAAGACAAGAGATGTCGCAAGCGGTCGCGACGCCAACTGCCGCCAACGAACGAGCATACGACGCCGAGAGCTGGCGTCTTTAGCAGACAAGAAACTGCCTTCCTTGTTGTTACCGCGCCTGTTTTTGTTTCTGCGACTGTCGCCGCCTGTGGAACGCGGGCCGCTTTTGAGTCAAAACGATCGTCTGCTAAAGACGCCGGCTCTCGGCGCCGTATGCTCGTTCGTTGGTGGCGTTCGTTACACCATCTCTTGTCTCCCGTGCGAAACGGCGCCGTGCTGTTTGAAGACCGGTGGCGTCGCTGCGTTTTCATAGGAGCTGAGCCTTTTTCTTTCTTTACTTTTTCCTAAAATAAGTTCGCTCTCTTCAAAATTTAGAAAAAAAAAAGCACGATCTGTGGGCAACGCTGCACAAAGTCGTAGTGCGATAGGTTAAGAAACCGAATTTGGCGGTCGATTTAAAGAGCCTGGCCTCTCCTTGAATCGCCCTGTATATTTGCAAACCCGTCGACGCTTATTACCGGAATCGATAGATTTTCAAATCCTTGCAACATTAATTTTAACATTATATTAAAGATAGCCAACATGCAATCGAGCTTGTTTCTTATGGTGTCATATAATTGAGCATGAGTGTCTATAGTGCGTTGCAACCTAAGAACAAAGGGCGAGGGTAAGTCGGGCCGGGGAGGAGGAAGCAGACGGAACGCTGGAGAAGAGAGGGGAAAACCTCCTTCTCTCTTTAGCGTTCTGCCTGCTTCCTCCTCCCCGGCCCGTCTTACATTCGCCCTTCGTTCTTAGGTTGCAACGGACTATAGTTATTAATAGCGCCAAGTTACATGAAGGTTTCACTTTATAAAATCAGTCAGAGTGATTCGGAAACGTAAGGAGACATTTGTGACTGTTAAACTTTTATTGCTGCAGATTCTCAATTTCCTGTTAATATTTTTTTATTTTTTTTTATTGTTTTGCTAATATTATTCCAGGATTTCACGGTCCGAAAGTTCTTTGGGTTGGATGCTGTTGTAACACCCGGATCCACGTTGCCTGTAATAGGGGGCTGGTTTCACTTCAAATCAAACGTGCTTAACAGAATAGATATTTTGAGTTGCCTCAAAAATATATGTAATAGCCAAACTTAAGTAAAAAGACAAACAACTGTTTAAAAGTTTCTAAAAATGTAATTCGTCCCGCATTTTTTTTTTTCTTTTTTTAATGGAGCAAGGTGAAATGCTGCATTTCTGCTGTTTGATTTTTGAAACCCGTTCTATTGGTTGTAATACATTGGTAACAACAAAAACATTACAATAAAATTGATCAATGCTGCTGGTTATGCGTGTTTGTGCTTAAACTTTGTTAACATGGTAGCGCTTTTAGACACGGACGAGACGGAAAAACAGGGCAACAAGAAGCGCAATCACACTAATTTTTATTATAAATGTATATTGCACGGCCTATTTCTTTTTGTCTGAACTAGGTAATTATTTTTGAGATCTTTTGCCACAAATAACAAATAAAAAAAACATCGCAGATTTGATGCTTTGGTGAAAAATTTGGAGCTTTTGGTAGCTTAGGACTCCTTAAAATGCTGCTTACTAAATACTTCAAACCTAGAGTTCTATGCATGTGCTATCAACTGAAACCACTTTAGTTTATTTAGGTTATTTTCAAGAAACACTTGTATTCATTCTTCAATTAAGAAAAAAGTATTGGGTAATTTTGGGGCCTGCATTTATAAATAAATAGCGTTTTATTTTTTCCGTATTTTTATATTATTCCTAATGACATTAACTTCATAATGGCTTAATAAAAGTTTTTCATTTCTTGTTATATCTTCTTTAGCTTTCTATTATTTCCCCAATTGACAGACTACTGTTTTGTCGATTCATGTGCATTGTTTGACCACATAGTCAAATAATAAAAAATAAAGAAACGGTAGTTTCGCGCAAGTCGACTTTACTGCAATCTTCGCAATAACAAACATGCTTCCGGCAGTGGCGTTGCAAGCGTTCGGTTTAGGAGGTGAAGGGGCGGCGGTAGCTGGCACTGGTAATGTGAAGGGAGGGGAGAGGGTTTTGTGAACGTGACGCCATTAGAAAAATAATGTCTGCTCCTGCCCCTCCGCTGTTCCGAGAGACTGGCCACGCACGCTTTTCTTTTTCTTTAATTTAAATTGGGACACTTGAGTCGGAATGCATAGTGCTGTTTATCTCAGTTTAATACATACAGAGTGTATTGAAGGCTTTACTGATTTTTTTTAAAGAAAGCTGTGCAAGATATACTAATACCTTTTTTTTTTCTTTTCTCTTTTGTTACAGTTGAGCTTTACGGCAATGAGGACGTAATAGAACGGGATAATGGTAACGATAACTGGGTTAACTCTACAAACACTTGTTAATCAACTTTTTCTTATTAATGAAGATAAAAGTAGGATTCCGATTGAAAACGTTCCAAGCGGAATCGGAAAACATTAAATGAGTAAATTTGAGAGAGATTTTTGGGCGAGTGGGAAGCGCGGCGTTGTGCTAAGGTTGCCACTCGTGAAATTGTGCAATATGTTTGGGGTTCCAAAACAAGCACGATTTGATTTTCCGCCACTTATTATCAGCATTTTCAAGCCGCCAGCATTGACCCATAGCACAAATGGTAACTTTGGTGAACCGCCGTGCTTCGAACGCATTCTAGATATTGCCAAAAGATACTTGGGCAGTTTCATTTGGATTCAGGCAACGAGGTGCAGTCGTATTCGTTCATTTATTTTCCTTCAAATTTTTATATTACGCGGAAAATATTTGATAACGAACTGTTCCTTTTATTTAATGTCCTGAGATCTTTAGTTTCCGAGAAAAAAATCTCAAAAAGCGGGAAAGAACGCCGACGTTTTGAGGATTGTCTTGTGCGGCGTTTTTGAATTACTCGCAATGTCAAAGTATTCAAAAGAGAGCGTCTATATGTTTTAGTGACATATATATGCAAGTAGGTAAAACGACATTATAACTACGAGTTATTGTTCGCCACTCTAAGTTTTGTAAAAATCCCCAAACATGCCCCCGCAAACAACTGTGAGCTACATTGCAGATCTTTTTTTTTTAAGTCGATTATGTTTAGTATCGCTTTTAAAATAATACTACGTGTAGAACCTTTGATTGACTTCAAAATTATGTAAAGTTTGTGTCTTTATTATGTACAACAACTGAAAAATAAATTATAAAACAAAGAAGGTTTTCACTTTTGTTCAATTTCAGCACACTGTTTAGAAAAAAAAAACATTTTTTTTTCGCGTCGCGTTTTCTTTGCATTTTTCTTTTAGCCAGCATACATTTCGTTAAAGGTATATGCACCAGTTTCGAACTTTAAGCCTCTAAATATGCTAAAAAAAAGAGCAAATGCCCATGATGAGCTCATGGGTTATAGCTGTATATTTTATTATTTAATATAAACATCTAAGGGACATTTAATAAATAATCATATAAAAGACATTGATGCCGTTAGGCGTATAACAACAAGTTTGCAATTCCAAACGTATAAACACTATAAAAACGCAACTGCCGAAAACGGGTTTTCAGACAATTTTCGCCACTGCCATGACTTGAGAGGCTTCAAGCCTCTCCAATCATGGCACCCTTTGCGCTGATAATCTATATTATGGTAGAAATGTCAAAGTATCATATTGTAAAACTTTAGAGTAAAATACACTTCCTATTGGAAGCTATAGATTTCGAAATGCGAAATTTTATATTTTTAACGAGAAATTCATGTCGATGAGACAACAGAATAATTTGTATTCAATTTTGCCACTCTTTATTTTTTATGCTTTTGTTTTACTCTGCAAACACCTGGTGCGTTTAAAAAATAATAATTTTTTTTTGGTACAACTGCTGAAACTGAACAAAAAGTGAAACCTCTGTTTCATAATTTATCTATCAGTACTCGTAAATGATTAAGACACAAACTTTGCATAATATGGAAAGCAATGAAAGGTTCTACACGTGGTATTATCCGCAGTTTAGGTCACAGTTGTTCGCGGAGGCATGTTTGGTGATTTTTACAAAGATTGGAGCGACGAATAATAAGTAGTAGTTGGAATGTCGTTTTACCGAGTTGCATATTTATCACACTAAAATATTATAGAAGCTCTCTTTTGAAGACTTTGCGATTGAGCCTGATTCAAAAACGCCACAGGCGACAATCGTCCAAACCTCGTCGTTATTTCCGGCTTTTTTTAGATATTTTTTCCAGAAACTAAACATATCAGGACGTTAAAATACAAGAGGATTGTTCCTCTTGGAACGTACGCCACGAAATATAAAAGTTTGAGGCGAAATAAAAAATACGGCTGCACCTCGTTGCCTGAATCCAAATGAAACCGCCCACTTATAAAGTGCTTTTGATGGCGTTTAGCAAGTTTCTAGTTCAAACCCTATCTTAATTTTCAGAATAATAAAAAAATGTTAATATACTCTTTTAAAGGTCTATCAAGCAACATTGATGGTCGCCACTTATTGGGCACGAAGCCCATGATTGGATCCGACTCCTGGCCGAACGCTGACGCAGCCCTTGTCTCCAAGGAATGATCGGAGTGCGCGTTCAAGCAATAACGAACAGGAGAAGTCGCAGACTCTAGGAAATGGCATATTAACAAATCTTAGGTAATAATTTATTTTAACATGAATATTAGCCATTATAATGTGCACTTCAGGCATATTACGCAGTTGCACAAACTGCATTAGTTTGTTTTCACTATTTTTTTTTTTACAAATTTGTGAAGCCCCAAAAAAATCACCCCGCATAATAATATTTGTGCGTACTTGTTTCTCCGTTTTCCTGTTTGTCGTGCTCTTTGCCTCCCGTAGAAGGTACGACTCGATCCCAGCGGCTGTTGGAAGCCGGACGACAACATCTACAACTCATAGACCTGGCGTTGCATCTAGCGTTCCAGACCACTGCTTCGGCTTTTTACGTTCGAAGTTGCTTGTGCCAAGTTTTCACTATCACTAATATACACAGATTGGATATAGTCTCCAAATGATGGTCCACATAAAAAGAAGATACATCGGAATAAATGTTTTCGCTTTGAGAATAATCTCAAGGTGGGTAAGTTAAGGACAACCTATAGACACCTTTCACAGCGCTGCAGAGACATAGGCTGCCAGAAGTACTTCGCACGCCTTGGTGAGAATCTTCCCGCATCCTTTGCCGGCGATTTAAGCTCACGTTAGTGCACCACTGCTGTGTACGAGCATAATGTGCTCAAAGACATTGAAGAAGGGATTTCTGGCGGCAGGCTAGACACGGCTTCATTGAGATTTCCGTCGGCGAAAAACACGAGCCTCCGACAGTCAGAGCAAAAAAAAGAAAAAAGCTAGGCAAACTTAAAGGGGCATATAGTTAACCTTTTTTAAAAGAAAAAGCTACTACCTATTACCTAAGAAATAGCTACTACCTAAAAAATAGCTACTACCAAGCAACTGAAACTTCCCAGCTTATTGTTCTGCTTCCCGCGTGGTGATTGATGGATCTATGTCCATCAAGCTTTTTGCCAAAGCGGTGTTTTGTAGGTAAAGAAGGCAGCTACAGGTGGTTACTCAAATCAACGTTAAGGTAACTGAGGCGAAATAATTAATTATTGAAGTATCAAAATACCTGCTTTAAAAGTGGATAAATGGCAGACCTACTTAGGCGCGAGCAAATTGTTGGATATTTGTTTGCTGGTGGGAGATTATTATATTAGCTTCAGACAGAACCAACAACTAAAAAACGTATTGCAAGCAGAAAGTTGCAGTGGATATATACGTGAAAATGTATTTTGGAGGAATGTATCTGATGTTTTAGGAAGCTGTATCCCGAAGACAACATTAGGCATTACAACATATCATTCACTCCGTTCATGATGAATAGATTTGAACTCAAAGCAAACAGTATATGCCAACAAGGTCTGTACCTATTTCTATTTTTGTTTTTCTACTTGCTCAAGGATGATATTACAAAATATGGGTTATATTCACCAGCTTTTATCAAAGCTGACCTCAGCACATCCATTTTGAGGTGCTTCACAGAGCGACAACGTTCATTCCTATACATTAACTTATTATGTAAATCATCCTAACGAGACCCGACCGCATCTGTGAACGTCAGCCATTGAGGAAACTGGACGCCATGGAAACTTCGAAACTAAAGAGCTAAAGTAGGGGTATGGAAAACTAGCCACAACACTAGTCCTACTGGTGTAGATCTCCTAATCTGTGTTTTAACAGTATTAGGATCGAGTCGTACACTCTTTTGTGGGGACAGAACATGACAGGCAGAAAAAAACATACAAAATAAGAGGTACAAAATAATTATACACACTAAACTCAAATAAAAAAAATATACAGCCCGACTCAAATCTTCTGATTCAAATTGAAGTCAAAGTAGCATGCGCATCCAGCGGTATCGGGACAGCGGTAAGGGGCACATATTTTTTTTTTCAACTGGTGTCACGGTCACAAAACTGCTTCCCCTCCCTACCCCTCTCAAAGCCAGCTCCCGCCGCCTCTTCTCCTCCCAAACGCCTGCAACGCCACTTCCCTTAGAATTTCAACCCTAAAAAGCCTCGCATGAAGTAAAGCGAACTGACGAAACTGCCGTTTTGTCGATTTGGGTCCATCAATCAACCACTTCTACAGAAAACACAGCAAAAAAGACAACTTTGATTAAGCCAATAAAAGTTAACATAATTGGGAATAAAACAAAAAATATTAAATAACTAAAAAAATAATTAGCAGGCTCATAAATAGCGAAAGTTAATGTTTAATGAAATCTTAGAATTCATATAAATGTTTTCCTGAAAATAATTTTGTATAAATTAGCACTGGTAAATACTGCAGGTTTACAGTATTTAATTAGTAAGCCACATGCGTTATTAATCCTAAGATATAGGGCTTCAAACGTCTGCCATTGTCAGTATTGTACAGGTTACTCGAAAGAACGTAATAACGGACAATAACAATTACCTTTCGTTGAAAATATTCGATTAGATTACTTGATTACTCAATAATGAACGTAATTGGCCGTTACCTGAAAATATATTTTTTTACTTTTCCTATTAATTCATATTTTGAAACGGAAAGATTTTGCGGCTGTTTTTAAAACGAGTCGTAAACTGTAAAATTGTAAACTACTTTTCTTAATCTTCCAATTTTGGTGAACCATTCTCCCGTCGATACATGGTTTCAGGATTAATTGTTAGGAAACTTGTACAGTCAAAGCGCACCATTACAAAGTGGAGGGGAAAAGGGTTACGGTTACAAGTAATTTTAGTACTGCCAAAAGTAATCGGATTACGGTTGCAGTTACTTCCAAATACATCGAATACAAAATTACTCCGTAAGATAATTAATTACAAGTAATGTTATTACTTGTAATTAGTACGTGCAAGTATGGTTTTGTACCTTTGGTCTTTAAAGGGGAGCGGAGAGGGGGGGGGGGGGGGTTGCCTGATTAGATTTCCTCAGAATCCTTTTGCAAATCTATTACGATAGAGTGAGAGGACTACCCGGATGGTGTTTTCATGTTCGTGCCAATGTCCTTTTACTGAGCTAAAATATTATTTAAATAATTATGACATTATAAGTGCTTTATTAATATTACTAAACGAGTGTAAACATTATTGCTTATTGTTCTTTTGAAACATCGGCATTTATTTATAACTTAATATCTCTATTAGCACTGACTTGTTTTCGTTCAACTAAGTACAGCCCACTAGCATTCTAAAAACCCCAAAGATGCGCAAGGGATTGTGGAGGATGTAAATTAATAAGCGCAGGTTCACGTACCTTATGCCCATTATGAACGAGGACCCAGAGCACGTGGACAGCCTTTCGCTGTTCTGCCCATTCGGCTTCCCCATAAGATAGCCGTCACTGTACGGGCACCATGATGCGCCATCACTTCCTTGAACATACTCCCTACCAGGAGGGCCTTGACCGTCTTCCACAGCACCCATGCTTGAAGGACAAAAATATGAATGTCTCTCATAAAGTCCGCGCACTGATGCAAACAAAGAAACAGATTATGAACGATGCCGACTTTCAAACACAGCAATCACAATGTTTATTATACATTTTTTCTAAGTTATTTTTTTAACTGATGTTATGAACGCGGTCGTAGCGTAAAATGAAATTAAAGGTGTATACGTTTGGTTTACTGAAGCAAACAGAGCTATGTAACAGCCAGGCAGAATTTACATAGAATGGGCAAGTAGTAAGTGTCAGGGCGTAGTCCGTCCGCAGATAAGGGGTAGCACCTTTCGGACGTTGAACCTCGACCGACGGGTGAACCTGGAACCGGCGTGGTCGGTAGCGGTGAACTCTCACGTTGGCGATAGTCTACCAAACTTCGCCGGTTGTGCTGCAGAACCGCTCCAGTGTCTATCTGAACCATGTACGACCTTGGACACTGTGCCCGACTTAGAACAGTGGCCTGCTGTCAACCCGGCTTGGGTGCCCACCTGAAGCTTTAGAAGTTCTGGGGGTCGGTGATGAATATTGAAGTCGGCAGCCTGCTTCTTGCGGTAGAGAGACGTCGTGGCCTGACAGCCACGACGTCTCTCTTTGGACCAAGGGGCTGCAGCTGTTTCTCCGTCTTCCGAAAACGCGTTCCGATTTGGCGTCCATCAGCAGTCGCGCAGGGCTGAAGATTGTGACGCCTGGCGTGTCGCGTAGTTTAGGAGTGCCAAGTAAGGGTCATTCCTATGCGGAAGAGCTTTTTGATGGTACGAATCATCTGTTCTGCCTCTCCCTTTGATTAGGTAACTTCCGAATGCTTTTTACGAGAGTGAAGCCGTATGACTCCTCGAATCTTTCAAACTCCTCCGACAAAAACGGAGGGCCGTTGTCGGATCGCACGGTCTTGGAAATTCCGTGGCGTTCAAACATGCTTTTGAGAACGTCGATTACGTCCCCTGCAGTGAGGCTTCCCAAAGTTACCATCTCTTCGTAGCGGAAGTAGTACTGGACCAGCAGGGCTAAGGTTTGGCCGTTTAAGTGGAAGAGGTCAACCCGAAGCCCTTCCTATGGAGTGCCCGGGAAGCTTATGCTAAGAATAGGTTCCGACAGGTTGACTCGGCACGACGCACACTTCTCGCAGTTTGCTCACGAGAGAGTTGATACTGGCATCTATCTGGGGCCACCAGATCTACTAACGGGCCCTGACTTTGCAGCGATTGATCAGTTGATGACCTTCGTGAACTAAGGCCAATATCGTCGGGCGGAGCGAAGCTTGGATCGCGACCCCGGTTCTCTTCAGCAGAAGACCGTTCCAGGAAAAAATTTATTCATTCTAACACTGGTGCATCCTTGGCCACATGCAACGCTAACTTTGCATTCGACGGCCAACAACGCTGACAAAGGGGAATGAGGGTCCTCCACTCGCAATTCGATCGACGCTTGTGCCATCTTGAGATCATCCAGCAGGATCGGAACCACGTTGGAGAAGGGCTTCACGGTTTCAGTCGGAAACAGCTCAAGGAAGTCCAACCCTCCTGTCGCACCTGAGGTCTCGCAAGGAATCCGAGACAGCATGTCAGCCGTTGCTAGAAGCTTCCCAGGGGCGTGAAGCATCATGAACTGATACCGTATGAAGTTCAGACGCAATTACTGAATTCATGGTGACATGATGTGGTGCTACATCTCGCCGAAAAGAGCGACCAAAGGCAGGTGGTCCCGCTCGACTTTGAACAAGATTCCCCGCATTTACTCGTCGAACCTCTGTACAGTCCACGTAAACAACGAGGGCCCCCTTCTTTCTTTGGCTGCAACGCTGCTCCCTTACTGAAAGAGCATCTCCCGATGCGAAGTCGACAGGTCTTCGGTACCCCGTCGGCTGAGTCTAGACTCTAGAGTAATACTGCACCCAGTCCGAAGGAACTTGCATCCGCGGAGATCACAGTTGGGTAGGACGGATGGTACTTCGCGATGCAGTGGTCCCACGTGAGCATCTCCTTTGGGGCAATAAAGGCGGCGTCTTGCTCGGAAGTACAGGTTCACTTTGCGTTCTTGTTGAATAAGTACCCTGATTGCCACGGTAAGAGGTTGACCATGACGAGAAGCCATCGCGCCCCCGCGACATCCATCGGTGGGTCCATGTTCTTCACCGCACACAACTTGCCGGGGTCGGGTCTGGTCCCCTCAGCGGAGACGGCGACACCAAGGAAGGGCACCATGGAGACACCAAAGCAGCCCTTGACCTTATTGAGAGAGACGCCTGCCCTTAAGAGACGCGACAGGACTATCTGAAAGCGCTGGTCGTGCTATTTATTCGTTCTGGAGAACAGGAGGAGGTTATCAACCATGTTGACTGTTCCATTGAGGCACTCAAAGATGCGAGCTATCTCTCTTTGGAAGAACTCGGGGGCTGGTGTGATTCCGAACGGGAGCCGTCAGAAGCAGCACCGGCCCAACGGCATTATAAACGCGGTAAACGTCTGCGAGTCTGCGGACAGCTTCACCTGGTGAAAACTAGACGTAGCGCCCAACTTCGAGAACACAGATGTGCCGGTCAGGAGTCCCAAGATCTGATCCACCGTGGGGAGAACGTGCCGTTCTTGCAAAAGGCGACCTGATTTAACTTAATCAGGTCAACGCAGAGCAGCTAACCACCAAAAGACTTTGGAACCACGGCTAGTCCAGTACACTAAGGAATATAATTGGTGACTCGCCGAATGACCCCGTCGTGTTCCAGAATGCTGACGTCTGTTCGCACAACCTATCGCACAGATATGAGCATTTGGCGTTCAACGCTGAGTGAAAAAGGCTCCGCATCAAAACGTAGCCAAACCGTGTGCTGTTCCATGAGCGTTCTGAGGCCTTCGAAGATACCTTGCGGTGCCAGTATCTACACGCCGCCAAAAAGCTTTGCGATGCCCAAGGCTTGGATGATTGTAAATCCCAGCAGTGGCACAGAGGACTTGAAGACGTGAAGACGCTGACTACTGGACTTGCCCCGCCAAAGAAGTGTAGCCATGAAGTAGCCTAGGACTTGCAGTGACTGGTCTCCCGGTCCGGTCTGAAAGTTGTCGACCGTGTCGAGTTGGAGAGGCAGGTTCGGAAATCCTTCCAAGACGGCAGACACCTCAGCGCCGGAGTCTACCTTAAACGTTTCAGTGTCATTTTCCACCGTCACCCCAACGTACTTGGCCCTCCCAGGCTTGAGGACTGGGTAAAGCTGTATGGCCGCCACTTTCCTCTGCATCCACTTGCGAGCGCGAGAGGTCCGCGAAGTGGCCTTCCTTCTCGCAGTAGTTGCCCTACGACTCTTGAGCGGGACAGTCCGAATGACCATGAACAGCTTGGCCACAGTAACCGCAGAAATTCGCGCCGTTATCTCGACGGATTACAGACGCTGGCGCATCTTTTGAAAGCTTCGTTTCCTTGCACTGACGCGGCGGGCCGCGGCGAGACTTTGCTGCGTCAACGCAGCAAAGTCAAGCCGCGGCGCGTTTGCAATGTGTGCATAACCTTCGCTGCAGTTTTTTTTTACAGCGGGGTTGTTAAGCGTTTGTTTCCCCAGGATCGTTTCCCCCGGAAAGAAACGTCGACACAAAATTCTGGTTGCCACCTTCGCTCATAAATGGCGGTAGCTGTCCAAAGTGTTGTGTTTTCCGGTTGTCCGCTTGCCGCCGTCACTCATAGATGGCGCAACCTTTCGAGCATTTCTACTCTGGCTTGCCGACTTGCGGCCGACTATTACTTCATTCAGACCACAGTACAGCTTCGCTGGTCTTCCTTCTTCACCAAAGAAGAAAGGCTAAAAGTTTCTTCTCGCATGTTCGCCCTGCATCGCCTGCGTCCACGCTTCTCGGAGGCTGAATTTAGCGTCACGGCAGGACTGGCCAGAGAGGCGCGCATCATGAAAACCAACAACGAACATGTTGCGGTGAAGACGCTCTTCGACTGCGCGTGACGGATGCTTGCATTGTTTGACAAGTGGACACAGCTCAGTGTAGCAGCTGTCTATGCTCTCTCCAGGCTGTTGGTCCTTCTGAAATCTTGGGCATTTGTAAACCTCATTGACGGGGTGCACGAAGTGCTCCGATAAACGTGTTACAACAACGTTGTGTTCTCTCAGCGCCGCGTCATCCAGACCGGGACTGCTAAGAAGGGGTCGAGCCTCGGGTCCTATGAAGTTAAGAAGAGTCCGCTTCTGTACATCACGTGACGCTTGGCGAAGACCGGAAGCGTAGGCACAGTCCATGAAAGGTTGAGTCAAATGGGCCAGGATTCCCAAGGTCAAGATAATCGGGCTGCCGGAGGGGAACGCCCACCCACGCAAAAACGTAACCAGGAATTTATTTTTTTCTTTTTTGTTTTTGGGGGGGGGGGGGTGTGTGGGATGGGGATTCGTAGTGAAGTGGCTTGGATGACCATGACATTGGGTGCGGTGCGGTGAAGGGGGGGGGGTCAAAATTCAGGTGTATATTATTGCGTCGGATGGATCTCGGGCCGGGGGGGGGGGGAGGGGGGGGGGGTTGGGGCTGAAGCCTCTTAAGCCACCAACCTGGCTACGCCACTGCACCAACGCCAATATCGAGGCGGTCGATGCGCCCGAATCTTTCTTGCCGTAGGTCATGACCACGTAGAAATGCAGGCTTACTTCGTGCTGAATACTTCTGACAGCCTGTCGAGATGTAGTCCGTCCGCAGATAAGGCCTTTCGTACCGACGGTAGCGGCAAAGGAACCAGCCGAAAAGACGGTAACAGAATGCAGGTTTACTTTCGAAATGATTATACAAGTTTTCTGACACAGTGTTATCAACCTATTGTACAGCACAAGCGCACTCTACAGCGAGGACAATCAAGATTCCGAAAACGTTCCAAAGACTTATGCAATTTTAACGAACTGCTTAAGTCAAGGGGATCTTTTGCTGTTTGAAGGTACCGCATATTTCAGCTTCTGTGCGTATTGAGTTGAGATTTTGTAGAGAGTTGGCCGATAAATGAGTATTACG